GTGCAGCAGTGTGGTATACCATGTTTTGGGGGGTTCCAGCTGGCGAGAGGCACCAGGCACCTGTCCGACATCTTGTTGAGGAGCTTCGCCTACCTCTAGACTCTGTGAACTGAGTCTGAACAAGTTCTCCCGAATTGGGCTTCGTTGTGTGAAACCCGCAGAGTAACCCGACACTTCTAGATCCAGGTGGGAGTTAATCAGGATATTGGGTACAGAACCTTACCTTACATCCCAAACCCCAGCCATTGCATCCTCAGACGGGGTCAGGCCATTCTACATGGCTCCAGCGCCTAAGGCGCAGGACTGCGGACTCGAAGCAACCCAAACTGTGGTTGGTGCAAAGTTGTTTAAGGTTGGGAGTTCGTGATTGCGTGTTTGGAGGTGGTCTCGGTGAGAAGGCCCCAGCCTCAGCTAGGTAAAAACAACTGCGTGGCAACAGTCTTTCTTGTTACGACTCTCGCTGGCATTTGCCAGGCTTAAATCACAAGGAGCGGTAGCCAAAAAAAAGTTCACGAGGTTCCTGGGATTACAAGGCCGCTTGTGTTCTTGATGCTCCTGTCATTGTAGGGCAATCAAGCTGGAATCAAGCTGTTGGTATCGTTTCTCTGCTTCGTGCAGCGCAGACACTACGTAAGTACGTGGGTCTGTAAAACCCAGCAGTCATTACCATATTCTGGTGCTAAACCACCCAAGTCCCTATGCCAATGATTAAGTGGTGAAGGCCCCTGTATCATGCCTGCCAGCCCAGCAATTCTTTTGCATTGGCTTGAGTGCTGCTTTACGGCTTTGGTTTTCTTTCTGGACCCGGTCCGGCATTTCTAGCAGTCTGGCCTGGTGGCTTAGCTCATACCAAAGCCATCAGAGTTTTCTTCGTTGCTCGTGTGTTCTGTCATGACTTTCGTTTGCGAGGGTCCCGGCGCAACAAAACGCAAGATCGGATGTATCTTCCTCGACGTCATCCAAATTTTCAACAGAGCTTTTAGATAGCTCTGGACCTTCACGATTGGGGTCTTCTAACGGCCGTGTAGAACCTGCATCAGACGCCATCAGTTCATTCGCTCACGACAGCGGCGAGAGACGAAGCATTTGTGCTGTACGAGATTCTTGGGCTGGCTTCTGGTTCACAGAGGAAGGCAGGGAAGCGAACCTGGTCTGGTTGGGTTTACAGCTTTAGTTGTAGGTATTTAAAAATTCGGCAGATGCCATCCGAGTCCCTCAAGCGTTTCATGGAAGCTCGGCAGCGAGGAGCCGCAATTTTCCGAGCCAGCCCCTGAGGCTCGTGCGGCCACTGTATGTTGCTGTTGGCCAGTGGTTCTAGATTGAGTAGCAGGAAATGGTGGTGGCAGCAACGGCGTCTTCGTCGTAGCAAAAGCGTTTCAGCAACAGCGGCAGCATTCGCAGCAGCAGCTTTCGTGGTAGCAGTCGTCGTCATGCTGCTGCTGGTTGTGCCAGTGGCAATACAACATGTGGAGTTGCTCTCAGGACTTATTGCTATATCCCCATAGCAATAAGGTCAGCTTGCGGCTAGTCTGATAACAAGAGTGAGAGCGACAGCGGGACTGTCGCCTTGTCCCTGATTTCGCTTCTCGAGCTGAGAAGCCTAAGGCCTGTTCCAATTCACGCACACACACACACACACACACGCACACTAGCACATGTTCCAATGAGCGCGGGCATCATTGAAAGGCTATCAGGCTCATGCGTACGGTGCAGGATCTGGACTGGATAGGGCTCCGTCCCAACAGTCCCACCACTTGTTTACGATCGTTGTTCAGTTCTAGCCAACAACTGTTGTGCTTGAATTTGGGGCCTACGATCCCGAGAAATGACGCGTTGTTTGGCCTGTCCGGTAATCTGTGGGCCATCTTCTGGTCGAGCTGCATATTCAAGATACCGCCTGGGCCACACACGGACAGCTGCAAGATACTGGGCCGGTCTAGCCGTGGTTGTAGCATGTTGTCCTTTCCTGAAATGCGAAAGCATGCCGAAGTTGTGCCTTGCAGTGTCAAAGCTTGTAATCGGGATGAGGACTGCTAGCTTAGACCCCGCCAAGAAAGGTGCAAGCCGAACGGGGTCGGTGTCGACAAGCCTTGTTGATGAACATTGTTTGCGGGAGCAGATTGTGGCGAAGTTGTTTGGAAGCTTCCACGACGGTGCATCTCGGTGGAGGGTACTTACTACCAAGACGAATGCCAAGCCACTGCTTGTGCGATTGCCAATAGCAGTCTTTTTTTGACCATGGGCGCAGCTCGTAAGACATTCCCGTGGTGTGGGATTGGGGTAGACGATAAACTCCTTAGACCTCGGTTGCAGCCACGGACCTTCTATATCTCTAGGTCCGGATCCCTAGCTGAGATGGCTGCATCGACTAGCCAAAAATAGACTCCTCCTTCCGCCTGAAGGTAACGCACTGCCTCCCGTTGTCATCATGCGATGTTGATACCGATACATGTGTTAAGTGCTAATTAATGTGGGAGGCGATTACATCGACTGAAACTTCTGGAACAGATTGAGTGCACGTTTACATGTTTCTATGTATGGATCGGAAAGCTCATGTATGTGTGGGTCACAGGCGTGTTTTCTGCTCATCAGCATGGCCCGTGGAGCCACATTTCCATTCGGTAGGTGCCAGCTGTTGAGCATGGAGCCCTGAGCATTAAGCCGGTAAACCCTAAAACCCCTATATGCATCCCAAATTCCTACACTTCTATATGCAGCTTGAAAGCCCATGCGACAGGCTGTGAGCGTTCGTTTTTCCTGGCGCCGGTGGGCCGAGCATTGAGTTGGGTTGGCGCGTGCGGCGGTTTCTTAGGACTTTAGAAGCTGATGAGAGGGTTTTCACAATAAAAAACTCTCCTTGCAAGTAGAGCTGCTTCCAAGACCCAAGCCATACAGGTTCCATTAAAGAAGTCGTAGGGTTCATGCGGAGAGACTGAACAGGGGAAGCCTGAACTTGCAGACATGACAAGGTGCATGCATTTGTATGCGGCTATGCTGGAGCAACTGTCGTGGATTGTTTGGAGGTCCAAGCTTGCTTTCTCAGCCTCTAGAAAGTAAAGCCGACAGAAGCAAATAATCTTGAAGGGATTCTCAATGCTACGACGAACACAGAGGTTCCAAAGGTTCACAGCATTCCTTCGGGGTTCCGTGCAGTCTGCCCGCATTATTGCATCTGCTTGTTGGCAACAGCGAGTTTACTCATGCTCAATCGTGCTGCAGGCTTGCTGTAGTGTCATCATCAGTTCATACGGCTGTGCAAATGCTAGTCTTGTGATGTTCGGAACCTCCCTAAACATCCCACATCACACGTTGCAACGCCCTCGGTTCTGCAGGTGCAGGCGCTGCGGCCGGACTTTCCGGGAGGGGGAGTCGGCAAGCCGGCCCAAATTGGAAGGGATTGTATGGGAGAAGAGTTTGGGGTTTAGGCCTGAGAGTCTAGAGTGTGCGGTTAAAGGGTTCCGGGGCTCGGATTTGAGGAACAGGCTAGCACGGGAGGCACATAATTTAGAGCCTGAACAACTAGCAGCTGTTATCAGCATAGAATAATGTGTTCCAACGCTTTATGCCACATGCGAAGGCCCCTGTGTTAGAGCACTCCGAACCTGCATGATCTCGGCGAAGGGTTGGGTTATTGTTGCAGGTATGTGATTCCAGGCGTGTTCTCAGATTCCCGTGTCATGTATGAGTTTTGCACCAGAGCTTGTGAAGGTATGTAAGTCTGTGTAAACCGCTTTGGACAGGACAAAATCACAGAAAGAGTATAATCCGTGAAGAGTAGGCCTCCAGTGTTGCGACAGCCCTCGATACCACGGAAGGGCACGGTCAGATGCGGGTAATCGACACAGACACAAGTTGCCGTTTCAAAAGATGAAGCCGGCTGCAGCAAGATTTGGGTTCTTAGCAGGTTCGCATTTGCTATCTCGTTACAGCTAGTTGCTGCAAGCCCGTAGCGCTGGCCAAATCGTTCATCAACGAGTTACCTGATGCCTGTTGTATGGAATTCTGGTGGGTTGCATGTGATTGGTCAGTCCGACAGGGCATTGGGCTTGATGTGCTGGTTTTGGGAGGGTTGTCGTCGCCTCTCCGAGTCCTTTCCATACAGATTTCGGATGGCCCCACGTGACTGACCGCAGGAAACCTATGCGGGAGAGAGAGCGTGGTCTCATTGTGTAGCAAGCACCAGGCTCCAACTGTATGGACCCAGCTTGGCAGCTTGACCATGTGTAGATCTTTGCATTTCAGTTGCACGTATCTTCGGCGCAGTGCGGAGTTTTGAGCATGACTATTCCCGAAGCACAAGAGCAGATCCAACGACTCGTTCGACATTCCGAATGTTGACTCCTATGCACGAGCATCCTGAATCCCATTCCAGATGGCTTGGTTCTTGCATTGTCCAATCTGCTGTTCTCTGAGGTGTTCATGGGGCGTGACATGGCGTTCTGCAGCAAAGTCTGCAGACAAAAGACTGTGGGGTTGTAATTACTGTAGTTTCTAACACTTAGAACAGTTGCCAAGGAACACAAGCACGCGTTTGAGCAATTGTCTACTTATTTGTTTGTGCTGTATACCAACTCACAGATTTAGCGGTCGTAGGCCATGTTTTTCCAGCCCCTCGATTTTTCGTCATCGCGCCAGCAGCCATGCCAGAAAAATTGTTGGAAACGGCCCGCAGCAATTGACCGGGTTTGGCATGGAATATGTTGGAATGTTGCAAGCGAGTGCGGCACGCCCATTGCACACTTGTTGCTTCGGCTCCTGTTGCTATTCAGTGGGGCCAGATCCTTAGCGGACCCGAAAGCGATTTCAAGGTTTGGGATTTGTTTTGGAAGCGCAAAAGTGTTCCTGAAGATCCGGGTTCTTTTACAAGCTGAAGTCTGGGGCCGCCAACGTGTGTGAATAATTGCCCTTGCATCGTTTCCGCCAGACCGCACTGTGCAAAGTTCGCTTGGCCGCATTTTGCTCATCAGGGACACTCCGAAGCTGAGTGTATTTCCCTTGTCATGCCCGTAGTGGGTGACCGCGTGCAAATTCATGGCAACGGCAGTCCACCAGCAAGCCAGGCCGTCGGCAAAGCCAATAAATCATCGAAGATTCTGCTTGTGGGCTCGATGCTTCCACGCCTTGCTTTCCAAACGTTGGTAGCGCTAGACGGATTTTCGACGACTTGTGGAGACTCGCGCCACGCCAGCTTCGAACGTCTTCCACGGAACACAGTCTCAACAAAGCACGGCCTGCAGTTCCTGATGGAGAGATTCAGCGGACTCGCGACAGGAGGCATTGCTTGGAACCGTCCGCTTCGTGGGCGATCTCGAGGCCGCCTTTGCCCCCGGCGATGCTCGGCTATGCTGTAACCCAACACAATCACAACACACACTACTCTGTGGACATGCTTCTATTCATATATATATATATGTTTATGTATGTAGAGAGGGTGTGTGTGTGTGCGAGAGAGAGAGAGAGAGAGACAAGAGAGAAAGAGAGGGAGATAGACATGTGTGTATGAGACATGTATATATATATATGTATATATATATACACATACATATGCACATACATGTTTATGTGTTGGTTTGCTTTTTCGTGTGTGTAATTAACTAATCGCTGTTCCGCTTGCTTACACATACAGTTTCATGTTTATGAGGCGTAGCCCGCCTCCCCTGAAACATTTGGGCGTTGAACTGCACCTGTGATTACAAACTTGGGGTAAAACGGGCTGAGCGCTGCGTGCTCATCTATGTCGACAAGGAAATCGCTCAAAATGTGCGTCTACTTTTGAAGTCGGACTCCCATTCTCATTTGTTTCTGAACTTTCGGACCCGGTCGCATCTCACGGATGTTTAAGAGGGGACGTATATGCAGTTATGCAGCCGGGTCCCTAAGTTAATAATCAAGAACATGACCCGGACTAGTGTTTATGAGTTGTTCGTTTGTCCCCGATAGCGTTTGAAGAGGTATGCGTGCGGCCGGGGTCCAAAATGCAAGAGCCTTCACACGTGGCTATGTAATATTGCCGGACGTAGGATGACTGGCGGGCGGTTTGCATGGTCTCTGTTACATCTATTGTTGTTATCTTGCTCGGTTGTACGACTGTAGTGCTGGCAGGGAGGGTACCGCCAGCAATCGTAAGGCGGCTGCAGATTCGGTCCATTCGCAGGTGTAAGAAATTGCAGCTTCGGGGTCTGCTTCCGGCCTCTCATCTCGGACAATAAGGCAGGACTAGGAATTCGAGATCCAGGGCAAGCCCTAGCTCGAAACCAAGGGAGGGCTTGAACTGATGCTGTTTGTATTTTTGTGATGTTTTGAAGGTGGTTTGCGCATGTTTGGTTCTGAAGACTGAAAATTTCTGAGTGTATGTTTTCTACCGAAAGACCCCTTGCGGCTTGAACTCGTGCTCATACATAGACATACACACACACACATACATTGACATACATACATACCATACATACATACATACATATATATATATGTCTGTATGTATGTCTGTATGTATGTATGTATGTATGTATGTGTGTATGTATGTATATACACATGCCTACCCACATCTGCGCATAAATAAGTACATGCGCACTTGAGTTTGCTCAGACTTGTGGCGGCGGTGCACGCTCACTTTACGGGCTCATGTGCGAGACGCCAACTCAGGAGTGGGTCGGCGTGGAGCTGGACCGCCAGGCGGCTTGCGACGCCTCAGCAATCGCACTCCCCGCCCTGAAGATGACAAGAGCCCAAGATAATGCATACATGGATCCATTGCTGGGTCAGGGCTGGGTCGTGGATTTCAAGCCACTTAGTCATGGCATAGTCGTGGATTTCAGCTTCAGTTGTTCACATTTTACCCGATGCTTCGGACAGGTCGGCAAGCACAATGGCAGCGTGAAGGGCAGGACGTACTTCGAGTGTGAACCAGGGTGGCCCTGACGACATTTCACAGTACTCGAAGTGGTGGTTCGCTGCCTCAATCGTCGATGCTTGACCGAAACTGACTTGCGGACCTGCTCCCGACAGCCTGGCAGGCACGGGCTGTTCGTTCGCCCACACTCGTTGACCAAAGTCTCCGCACGGGTCTGAGTATGTCCGAATACAGACACTCTGACAAGATCCGGCCGCAACTTGCTCCAACACTCCGAAATGATGCGGGCTGTGGCACCAGTAAGAACCATGGAGTGCGAAGGCGCACAGGTTAGTCAGGCGTCTCAGTGCTGATGACACATCGTTTCACGACTGGGACTTCTGATTGTCCATATTCAGACGAAGCAGCCCTTCGCATCTCGAACCACAAGCCCACGGCACCTGGGCGCCCTGCACCCCCACCAGAGTTAAGCCCAGACCTTTGGAAGTCCCAAGCAATTCTTTCAATGCTGTGATGATCAACAGGTCGAGCCAGTCAAATCGGGACAATCTCCACGAGCAGCCCAGCAGGCCAATGCGAGTGGGAGGGGCTGCAGCTTTGCAGCGCAATCAGGTAATCTGCCTTCCAGTAGCAGGGCCTCGGGAGCTGTGCCCCGCCATTCCAATCTTCTTCCGGGGCTCAGGAGTTTGCTCTACTTCCCAAAGTCGGAAACAAGTCATGGCTTCAAGGGCAGTGGGCCTCGGGTCTGAGTGCGGATTAGCGGACGGGGAGTAGTAACAGCCCAGAGCACTGTATGAGTCTCGCAAGCGTGGCTATTGCAATCACATTCTAGAGCGTCGATGAGGGTAGGCCGCTGCAACAGCTGCAAAGTCAGAGACTTCTACGGCGTGCTAGTGAGGTTCGAGGGACTTCAGCACCGCACCACTGGGGCTGTCTCGAGCGATTCTGCGATGCGGAGTGCAAGCTTGTTTGATGTCGGGCTTGGCAGGGGCTGGAGACCTTGCAGGCTGTGAGATCACAGGCGGGTCTCAGCTCACACACTTCGCGTCATCCAAAGCAGGGTCTGAAGACTTTAGCCTCTTAGTAGAGTGTCGAGTCGAGGCTTTGGCCTCGATGTGCAAAGAAGGGCGGGCAAACCACAGTGCCATGTTGCACAACATGCAGGCTGTCGATTCCTGTCAGCGACGCTTGGGTTTTCAGTTGTCGGGGCAATGGCAGGCCCGTTCTGACTTCGCCTCAGAAGTGGACACGATGCGCAGACTCCTCGGCGGTCCAGGCCAGGACAGGACAATGAGGAGGGTAGCCCAAAATGAGTTCGGGATAATGCTGCACATGTGTTACAGCAGGAAGGATGACGTTTGAATTGAAGGATTTCTCTCCATCCGTAGGCTTGCTGTCACGAATACCAGATGCGGAATCCACGACCCGAAGATTCTAGATGATCGAGCCCGGTCGTAGATGATGTTTGTTCTGTTGTAAGTTCGACCCTCCGGTGCAAGATGCCGAAGCCTTCAAGTGTGGCTGCGGCCTTTCGGAACAGAGCTGTAGTCTTGCCCTGGAACGATCAATCCCAGTTCAGTGCTAAGAAGACAGCGGGCGTTGGTTTAGCAAACAGCGTCAAGGTCAGAATCAGTCTCTGAGTGTTTCGCCAATAAATAAAGCACTCTTTAGGACCTGTCAAAGCATGATTGTTGCAGTACTATCCGCTGGTGGTACCACAAGCAACAGAGTTCGGAAGTGGTTGGTCAGGTGGCGAGGCGGCGTTGGACCTGAAGACATCTTTAGAGACCCTGCAGGCACATCATCTTGTTGCAGTGGAGGTATAGAGAGACTTTGCCAGCGGGAGCTTGTTGGAAGCAACACCTTGGTTCTGTAGATTGAACGTGCAGGTGCCAGAGATCTAGATCTATTCATTCCCAGTGCCACATGGTGGCTGAAGCCAAAGGTGCGATTGGAACAACTTGAGACGAAGGCGAGGTTCTTCAATCCGGGAGCATGCATTTGCTGTGTGCGAGGGTGTGGATGGTTTGTGTAGGCTTTGTGATGCCTTGCAGCTGGTTCCGCCACGCGGTACGTTTCTGGTCAGGTTCAGCACTTGAGCGAGCATTTGGAAGCACGAATGCCGCACCCTTGGCATTCATCTTCGTATGGCGAACTTGCAGTATAAGTAAGAGCAAGGTCAGCTCCCACTCACGGAGGCTAGGTCATGCCTTGTGGTCTGGGTTCATGGATCCGTGAAGACCTGCCCCGCCACACTACAAGTAGCAAGTCACAAGGATGGGCATGCTGAACTCCAAAGTTGAGGAAGTGGCAGCCAGTGGCCTTGATGCAAAGCGCGAGGGGAGCTTGTGTTGCATGAACGTGCCAGTGGCGTAGGCAGGCAAAAAACAGATTCGATGGCAAGCATGTGGCTGGCTCTTGAGGCATTCGCATCACAGTGGGGGCCAACGCACCTAGCGGCAAGGATGGGCCGGTTGCATTGCAGCAGTGCCCAGTCGGAACGGCGTTCGTGAGCGCGGAAGGACCCACCGGGCATCGGCCCCATGGGCGACACCCAAGCCGTCGGCTCCTTATGTAGGCTTTAGAAAAACATGTCTTCATGAGTGTGGCTTTTCTCGGATCTTCATGACGCCAGGAGAACAGTCCCAAGAAGGACCATGCACCGAAGCAAACTCTTCGTGAGAAGGCGCCAAGCTCGCTGGTCCCTCAAGTGTTTAATGCATTACATGAACATTCTCGTAAAGACAGCGGAGATGCCACACCAGCTTTCCGGCACTGGGGACATGATACTGTCCTCTTCCCATTGCTGCCATGATTCCCAAACCCTCCTGCATTCTAATTGGACAGTTTCGCCTCGCCGACACGAAGTACGACGCAGTGATCGCGATGCTGCAACGAGATGAAGATGAACAGATGCAGTATGCAAAGGCACTGGAATTCTCCGGTGGAGAAGCAGCCTTAGAGACTTATCAGACCGTCAGCACCTTGGCCAGGCTTGAGTTTCTGGCGTTGCCAAGTTTGGTACAGTTTCAGCACTCTTGCAACTCCCGTGATAAACCAAACTAGGCATGCCCGGCTCCCCTTCAGCGCCAGGCAAAAGCCTCGAACGGCAGTATGGTTTGGAAGATGAGACGAAAGGTCTTCTTTCTGCTGGTGAGCGTCGGGCTCGAAGCATCAAGGCCGCGGGGTTGCCGGGCAGGGCAGGGACTGTTCACGCAGCGGCAGGCTTCCACGGGCAAGGCCCATAGTCGTAGTTTGCGTCAGGTGAACTTCCAACCCTTCTTTGCAACGCTCGACGAGCTCTTTGAATTTGCAAACAAGCACAAGCACCACTTCTTCGACCTAGTTGAAAGGGTGGCGAAAAAGACGAGGGCCACTTTCTTCAATCCGGAGTTGAAAGACCAAGTCCGCTGCTCGACGATTGCTGAAAGGCTTCTGCAGCTCATGGGGGCAGAGCTGAGCTAAGCTGAGGCTGTGTCTCTAAAGCCAAATTCAAGTACGTGGATAGCGCCGGCAGAATCGAGTGGTGCTGCCGGCTTGTGACATGGAAAGCATCGGGTAAAGCACGCCAACACCAAAGGGTGCCGCTCCGCCATTCTCGGAAAAAGATGACAGGTTTCCTGATCAGTTGTGATATGTTGTGATGTTCATCATGCCACGATGGCACTCCATTTCTCGTTTGTTGCAAGCTGGCGGAACCCCTATTTCGTATCAACAAACGGGCAAAAGGGCCTTCTCGTGTTTTGGGCCCGAATCAAACATGATTCCGAGTCATTCCGACGAGACCCGCGGAAATCGCTGTAAAACATGGACGGGATCCCTGCCTGAATCACAACCGATTCGAGATTGGTCGGACGATTCGGGGCTGTTTGGAAGGATGATAGATTCTATGGGGGTTACTTTGAGTGGATGTTTAGCACCCCAAGATAGTATCGCAATTTTCACGGAGGAGGGTCTTGCAACGAACGCGAGCACATGAACATGTATTTCCCTGGACGCCGAGTGCTCGAAGCCAGGCACAGACTCACCGACATCGTGCGAGACACGCTGAGCTACGAGAACTTGACGGACATGTACGACGGACTCCAGCTCATTGAGAAGGAGAACCAGTTGCTGTTGGGTGGCGGGCCTTTGTAATTACTCTTACTGCTGGCAAGGACGACAGCGTTGAAATCGTGGAGTTCAACGACCGGCCGCGGGCCCAGTTCGCTGCCGAAGTGGGCGACGAGCAAAGTTCTCCAGTGGATACCTCTGTTGAGGGGTAATGAGCAGGTATCAAACTCCATTGCATGGTGGGTATCGCGATCTGCAGCTCACACTTCGGGTTCAAGGCATTCTCGCTAGAGTGAGCACACTGTCTTGAGCGCAGAGAGAGTTTACTCTGGCAAGCAAGAATATCGTTTGCTGCAGGCGGCTTGGTCTGTGAGCTTCAGCTGAGCACGAAGTACATGCTCTTCACGAAGGCCGTCGCACCCAGACAGCTATTGTCAGGCGAGCAGGGTGTTTCATAATCTTGTTTGGGTGCCGTTGGTGTCAGGAGACCAGCGGCCACAGGGCCTTCGAGATCAAGAGACAACTCGTTGCCGACGTAGCTGCGAACAACGAGAAGGGATGTCGGGACACGCTGGACTGGGCCAAGAAAGCACCTTGCCAAGAAAGTGCCGACGTCTTGAGCAGGACCTAGGACATCTGACTCTGCACCCTGAAAGCAACATTCTTGAGGATGCCGGGTCAGTTATTCGCGTCCTGAATGATTGCGAGAACCCGTTGCTCCACAAGGCGGCTGCGCAGGGCAACTCCGATATGCTGCAACTGGGCGAATCACTTCTGACAAGGAGCCAACATCTGCGCTTGAGAGGTCACCTAGGGAAGCAGTGAGTGGCAGATGCCAAGCAAAGATTAATGTCTCCTTGTATTCTCTTGCTTCAAGCATCCTTCCAGCTCTAAATGAAACCTTGCTGAGGCAGCTCTTCATAAGGCATGGGGCGGATGTGAACCTCCAGGCCAAGGATACTCAGCGCACAGCCCTGCACGAGGCTCCTCCAGTGAGCAGCGCATTCACAGGATCCGCTGAGAGCCTGCAGCGATCGCAGGCGATGGACCAGGGCCATGCTTGCGCGGCCTGGGCCCTCATCTCTGAGGGCGCTCGACAAGATGTCAAGGATGCGCGGGGCCAGACGGCCCTGTTGCTGGGAGACTTCTCTGCACAGGGCGATTCTTCAAGTTACCGCAAGTACTCCCTCCTGCTTCAATCAAGCTGGAGACAATGGATAAACACAAAGGACAAGCCCGAGACGAAGCAGAGGTTTTCTGTTACGCCGTTCCTGTTCTGCTATTGCTCATGTTATGGGTGCTGTCTCTGTGTGCGTGTGTGTTGAATTGTGACAGAGTCAGCCACTCCTTCCCAGCTTCCTCGAACGTCAGTGTCTGACTTGTGCCCCAAATAGACTGGGGTTTACACCTGTCAATGCTTGACACTGCGCAATTGAGGATACCACTATCCCAATGTCAACGTGCCCTCTATGGTTGACGTTTCCATGACGTGTTCACTTTTTTGTTCATTCTTAATTAATGTTCTTCTCATGTGATCCTAAAAAATCGGTATGTGAGCAGTTGCAGTTCACGTGCCTTGTGAAACGGCGGTGCTCGGTGGACAATTGTCCACTCTACAACCTTTTCAGTCAATAAGTTTTCCAACCGACTAGATCGCAATGTCTAAACCCGTTCATGTTTCAACGTAGTCTCGTTCGCGTGAACCGGAGCAGGGACAGACATGTAGTAAGCACGTGCATCCACATGGGCACCGCAAGAGGGGCATGTAAATTGGGAAAAGGCTTCCAGGCCATGTACAGGCTCTGGAGAAAATCCGTTTTCCTGTTGCCATACCGGATAAGGACTCTTGCGGCAGCGTGTGCGTCCAGAGAGCGAGACGGTGGCAAGGCCGGAGTTCCAGTGCTGCTGACAAGAGTTGGGTTATGAGCCCGGATACGATGCTGAAATGAGAAGGAGGACTCGGACCGGAAAGTTGACTCGAACAGAATGTGTTACGTTATCACGCTGATCCTGGGGCCTCGACGCACTTCGAAACTTGAGACACCGGGCTCATAACCCCCCCCCTGGCGAGATTCCCAAACATAATGTTCCCTCGTCCCTGTCATGTTTGAGCTACAAAACTCAGAATGCATGCTTGCGAGGGGCCATGTGAATCTTCGTAGTGCAGCAACAACAACTGTTCAATAGCCATTTATTTTGACCATGTGCCACCGCAGTCAAACATGGCAATCTTCTCACGTGGTCTCACGGAGCTTTTCGTGCAGGTGCGTCTGCATGCTGTCACAGAGGTTGGGCGTGAAGGACAGCGCTTGAGACTGTTAGTGCATCGTTTAGCGGCTTGACGAGCTTGTGAACCGCCTCGGACTAGAAAGGTGTGTGCCAGTGTTGCCTAACTGATTGAACCCATCGTCCTTGTATCTCCACATCTTTTGACAGGAACTGCGATCGGCCAAGGAGAATTTCCAGCACACTGTGAAAGAACGATGGAAGAACAGTTCCGACCTGGTAACGGCGTGGACTGCTCAGTTGCTCCAAATCAGCGGTTTTCAGAAATCAAGCACACTGTCAAAACAGAATGGCAACTGTTCCGGCACGTGGACTTTAGAATGCGGCCGGATCTTGCTGCTCTTATCATCGTGGACAAACCGTGACACGGCACTCGATACTTCGGAAGCCAGCTGCCGCGCACAGCCCAGGGCCTTCGATGGCAACGAGGACAAGGTCGTCGAACTGCTGCGCAACTGGATGAACCCAAACAGCAAGACAGAGGACGAGAAGCACGCGTTGCACATGGCCTTGGCTCAAGGCCACGCTGCCGTGGTAAGGCAGCTGCTGATTTTCAAGGCAGATATTTGGCTGGAGGAGAGCGGCAGAGGCAATGCCGTAGATGTCGCCATCGAGCTTGCAAAAGCAAAGAAACCCGACTGTCTCAAGCTCCTGGTCAACCTCCACGAGCAGTACAAGGCCGGTCCTCAGCTGATGTTTGAGCCAACTCTACTCCTTTCGGTTGGAGATCGTGACGGGCTGAGCTCGCGTCCGCTGCAACTTCGAGGGGTCTGGAGTTAGAGTCTAGACTGTCAAGCTTTGGCGCAGGACGACCAGAGCGCTAAAGGTTGCAGCCTCGGCTTGCCCAGGTGAGGCGGGTTTCTGCTGATGAATGAAATTAGTTGTCGTCTTTGGGGTAAGGTAAAGTTGACAGCATGGTGATGGATCTGATGTTCTTGATGCTGAAAGGCTGAAGATCCAATTTGGATGTTTCTATACTCAGTTGTCGTGAGACCGCTCTTCGTAGCCGCGGCCTTGTTTCCGGGGCTTAAATGGCAGAGAGCAAAAAAAGCAAAGACATCCGCTCACCCGCACCCGGGAAAAACTACGAAACAATGCAACAGTTAAAAAGGAATGGCTGCGTCATCAGAAGAGGAGCTCCAGGACAAGTGCTGTACTCTATAGTATTCCTGTGCTGCTGCACTCCCAAAAACGATGTGAGGGAGATCACTTGAGCTTGGGTAGCAAGTTGGCCGTACAGCACTTCAAAGATCAATACCGCTTTTTTAAAATTCTGGATTGAATGAACCGGGCCGGGCTCATTATTGCAAAACCTGGCGATGGATGTGGGTGACTCTTTGTGAAGGAAGAAGTCAAAGAGATCGACAATAGAATTAACTGGCACTGTGTTTTTCGGCACCAGCACTGGACCAGCACCTGCTTGAAGAAACGGGGAAGGAAAGGGCGATCAAAACTGCGGCCGTGAAGAAGAAGTATTCGCGCTGAAGATCGAAGACCAATCACACTTAGATGCCAAGCCAGCGGCGTCGTGGAGCATGCTGGCCGAACAGCGGCACTCCGTAAGTTGAAAAATCATCCACGAAACCCCTCAACCCGAACCCGACCTCCATTTCCTACACCTAACCTAAGGGCACAGACCACTGACCACCCGAGGCTGCGAGGCATTTGCTACCGTTAAGAGCAATATCCTGGATCAAGAGCTGGTGCTTGTTCAACTTGCATGCGTGTTTGTTCAACTTGCAAGCTCATTTGCATCACGAGACTTGAACAAAAAATCAATCTGCATCAGTGTTGGCAAGAAGAAGACGGAGGGAGCAGGGATGTGACATGTGGGACGGGCTGTGCAAGCCTTCAGACTCAGGTTTGACCTTCTTGGCGTCGGTGATGAAGCACGGTACGGCGAAGCAGGTCGAACTGCTCGTCCACAACGTGACCATACAGCAAGAAATCGCCAACGACGTTCCTGCGGCTCTTCGTTTTCTGGAGCAGCTGAAGGCCAGGACGCTTGCGGGGACCGCTTGCGCTGGTTGCTTTGTGTTCGTTTCTACGGTGGGCGCGCAGATGCTCGGCCGAGTGGATGCTTCGGGGGGGGTCGGCCGAGTGCTCGGCTCCCTGCTGGTGGGCTCGGCGCTCCTCTTTTTCTCGGCTTGGGGATGTGCTACTGCTACTTCGGCACCTGTCCCAATATGCACCAGTTCAGACTGGCAGAGTAAATCATGCAGCAGGTTATGTGAAAATGAGCCGTGTCGTGAAGATAACACGCAGCAAAGCACGTGCACCTCCGTGTCATGCGGTGTTGTATGCAACTGTTTACAGCTGGAAGTTGGAGAACAAATGTTAGTCCTTTGCAGTCGGTGACCCTCGACTCCTCATGACTCCCAGTGCCAGAAGACAGCACCAGACAGCTCCGCAGGCGGACCGTGCACCGAAGTCACAAGGCAGTGCACGTTTGCGGGAGCAGGCCCTGCGCTCGGTTACCTCGTATCTGCCTGAAGCCTGTCATTGCGCAAGTGCTCAATCCCGACTGATACCTTGAAGTGTTTGAGCCTGCGTCTCTGAAGCACATGCAGACGCCACGACTGTCTCTTCCGATTGTCACGCTCCCTCTGAGCAGTTGTCTCGTTTGTGCAGTTCGGCCTGACGGACTCCAAGTACGACGAGAAGATCGAATTACTGGATCGAGAAGATAACACAGAAGCCCAGTATGCAAAAGCCCTGGAAATCTGCGGAGGGGAGGAAAATCTGACACACTTCGCGGGACTCAGCGCCTTGGCTGAATGTGAAGTTGCCTCAAACCTACTTCCCGGATTTACTAAGAAGGCACATAATCCGGGCATTCCCCGTGCCCTTCCGCTCAGGAAAGCAGCTGCAGAGCCTGTTTGGCTACAGTTTGCGCGAGGAGAAGCGAGATCTCATCATTGCTGCCGGCGAACGTGTCGCCCGCACCTGTAGTCTCAAGGCCACGGTGAGCTGGTGGAATGGAAGTGGCAGAGGGGCTGGTGTTGTCCGAGACAACGGGACGCAAGTTGCTTTCGAGCACGGGTTTCTGAGACGAGCCTGACAGCCTTCAAGCCATCACGATCCAGACCCCGTGCTGCCAGGTAAACTTCCAACCCTTCTTTGCTACACTGGATGAGCTCCTCGAGTTTGCGCACGAGCACAAACAGAACTTCTTCGACCTCGTCGACAGGGTTGCGCAAGCCACTAAGGGTACCTGCTTCAAGCCCCCACTGAAAAGCAAAGCACGCTGCTTGACTGTGAGAAGCGTGCTCTTTGCTCGTTCCCCTGCTAATGAGAGCATCTGACCTGTGGAAAAAATCAGGCTGTAGAATGGATTGCATGGCGTTCATATTTTACGCATCGGCGTGAAGCTGAGGCTGCGAGTCCAGGGCAATGTTTAAGTATGTGGACAGCGCCGGCAACATCGAATGGTGCTGCCGGTCTGCATTGAAAGCATATAGGGGCGGGCAAGGGGGGGAGTGCAGGAGACTTGCAAAATCCTGGTCGACCACTTCGGAAGTATATATACAACAAGCGGTCTTGGTCGTTTGCCTGGGTGAGAAGGACGAAGAGGCCTTTGTCACTAGACCTCTGATGACGACTAGGAGAGAAGGAGTCTGGTGGTTGTCGTGTCGCTAGTCGTCGTCGTACAAGTAGTAAACTAGTACGCAATACCAGCAGTAGAAGTAGTAGTCGCTGCATTAGCAGCAGCAGCCGGAGCGGGAGCAGTGGGTGTAGCGGTACTCCTCCGCCTCCCCTCCCACGACCTAGTAGCAGTAGTACCACTACTACTACTACTACTACTACTACTACTACTACTACTACTACTACCACTACTACTACTACTACTACTACTACTAACACTACTACTACTACTATTTTCAATTGAACGCTGCGCGAGCGTGCTCTGCGCTTTGCGGGCGCCTTTGGTCTCGTGCACTCGTGAAACTGCTTCTAGCATGCATCGTTCATACCTCTCTAGTCAGCTCAAACTTGACAGACTACTGCTACAAAAGCTTCCTCCTCCGACACCTTGGAGTGAACAGACGCGTCCGTCTGTGCAGCTGTCACAACAAGTAGGCCGTACCTCAGACGAAGCCGACACCTGGAGTATCCGTCTTGTGGCGTCCCACACGGATTACTCATGTTGAAGACAGAAGGCCGTAAGGGTCATATGCCCATGACCGCATATACCTGAAAGCAACTCCGAAGGAGTGAGGCTGTGGGCAGCTTGGACGTGGGCAGCCCTCTGGTGCAGCGAAGTGCTGTTTTAAGCAAGGTTAGCTCGCGGTTCACAGGCTTCCGAAGAGATTTGCTAAGCGTCGGAAGAGTTCCGAATTCCCAGAGTCTGTGACATAAGGGATCAAAGAGTCTGTGACATATCTCTGCCCTCACTGGTCATGACCTTTCGGCCACTGCTGAGAGTAACTGTGCCAGGACCACTGCTGCCACCAGTCCCAGTTGTCCTCTTGAGAGGAGCGAGCCTGCCTGGCCCACTGGGTTGAGGAAGAAGAGGAGGGGCCATCGCGCTGTCGCTTGCCCTCTGTGTCAGCCTCTTGCATCTGTGGGCGCTTGTTAGGGGCAGCAGCAGCCAGTTTGGCCATGCGCTTGTCCTCCTCGTGCCCCTTGTCGTGCTGAATCCGCATCTTCATGATGGAGTAGGCATTTTTGTCGGGTTTGACCCTGAAGACACGAGCTGGGAGTCCGGCTGATTTGGCCGTCTCATTGTAGACTGCCACGATGGTGGTGGCGATCATGTTGAACTCGACCCACGAGGGGAAATGCTGCTGAAAGGCTTTCTCGTCCCACATCTTGTTGAAGCAGGCATGGATAAGGCCATGCACCTTTGTGTCCAGCTCGCGATAGGCTCCTCCCGCGCCTGTGGCTATAGTGACCTTCCCATCGCTGGTGAGGACCCGCCTCACCGACATGGCGACGTCCCAAGTGAGGCCTGTTTGTGTCCTTACCGACTTGATGGCAGAAAACAGCGGGGGAACTTCGCGGAGTGCTTCCATCCTGGTAGACCAGAGGGTCTGTTGCTCATGGTTGGTGAGGCCTCCGAGAATGACTGGAGCCACCAGGATATTAATGGAAGCCAAGGCCCGAATCCAGTCCTGGTGGGACTGGGAGCTCAGCAGTTGAGCCAGCTCCTGCCGCGTGTATCGTACTGTCTGTTGTGGAGCCGGCTGTGGAACATAGCCGACGGGTTCCGCATTGGTTTCCGGAGGCTCATAGGCTGACGGGGGACGGGAGGAAGGAGGAGGGGGCGTGTGGGAACGCGCAGCGGCCTGGGTGGCAGGGGCAGGGGAAGAGGCGGACTTGGGAGGGTGCGGAGGGATCGGGGAAACAGGAATAGCCGGTGCGGGAGGAGGTGTTGCCGAGGAGGAATGCTCCGGAGGCTGAGGGCACGGGGTGGGCACCATGGACGGGGGGGCCTTAGCCGGGAGCGCTGGGGCCACCTTCGGTGCTTCCGCCTGGCTTGCCTTGAAGGCCGCCTTTTCAGCCGCTGAGGAAGTGAAAGGGCACGGGGGGGAAGGCGGCGGCTCAAAGCCGGCTGCTTTGTCTGTTCCTTTGGTCCTGGTACTGCTGGGGGGGAGAGGAATCTCCTGTGGGTGCTTTGGGGGAGGGGGAGGAGGAGGTGTGTGGGATGCCGACAAGACGCTTGGTGCCGCATGTTGTGACACCGGGTCATGCTTCTGCGTGACAAAGTGGTTTTTGAGGCCGTGGCCAGTACTGAACTGGATCTGTCGGTTATGCTTCCGGCAGTGGAGGCAGCACAGCCACATGGATCCTGATACTTCCATTTGTCCCAAGCCGCGGGGGATGAGCTCCAGCACATCCTGCTCTGTAAGATCTTGGTTGTAGTGATGGGTCTCACGGACTGTGGCCATGAGCGCCGCGAAGGAGTTGTGCTGGATGCTGTCTGCCACATAGGTTTCAATATCCTCCTGAGTAGGAGGAGGAGGAGCTGATGTGGCGGTTGCCGTGGTCTGTGACCTAAGTGGCTGTGGTGAGCTGTGCTCTTCAGGTCGATCGGACTGGATTTCCAGGGAGATGTCGGGTAGCTGGCTCTGCAGCATGCGATCGGTTCGTTCTTTGGTAGTGGGGTCTCCCTGAAAGCCCTTCATCCACTTCCAGCACCTGGTGTAGGCGACTGTCGTGTTGTTGGCTGTCACAAAGTAGTGGCCGTCGTTGTCGTACTTTTTGTTCTTCACGCGCTTGTCCCAACGCTCCGAGAACAGGTAGATGGGGCCAAACTTGGCGGAAACATTCCAGCCCGCTTGAGGGGAATGACCAAGGTCTCGACTCAAGATCTGCCAGAGAAATTTGCAGAAGATCATGTATTCCAGGTTCGCCTTCGCTGTCATAACCTGACGGCTGAAGGCGTGCTGTATGGCCTCCCTCATCAAAGGGTGCCTGGGCTTGCCATAGATGATGCCTTGAAAGATGTGATCTCCTTTGACTCCAATGGCCATGACCATGAACTCCTTTGGGAGTTGGCCAGGTGGGGAGGGTCACAGTCTGTGACCCACTTCACCTGCCTTCGTTGAGTGAGCTGTGCTCCAATCTGCTGCCAGAAGCTTCAGTACCTGTTCCCAGGGTACCACAAAGCCACATTTGATATCGACATAGAGGCCGCCGTGCTGGTAGTGGTAGACGTAGCGGAACACGTCCGCTCTATGAGCAGGTTGACTGAGGCGGTCCAGCAGATTGGAGCCGTACTTTCCGGCAAGTTGCCGCAGGGTAGCCCGAAGGATACCATCATCACAGAATTTGCGGGTGAAGCCTGCAAACATTTTGGCCGCAACTTGGGCTGGCTCCGGCTTGTCGTCGTGGACATAGGTCTGGAAGAGGAGGGCCGGGACGGGGGCGGCCTCCCATTCTGGGAGATGCATGAAGCGCATACCCCAGGGGCCATGTCCGTACTGCATGGCAACCTCTGAAAGATCTCGGACAGTTCGGCATTGCGAAAGAGCCTGGGCAGCAAGCATTTCGACATGCATGTCCTGCTGGCGAGCATTCCAGCCAGCAACCACGAGGACAGGCAGTCCTGGGGTGTTGCGCATTTCCTCAATGGCTCTTGTGACAAGTGCCGGGATGACGATGTCCGCAACATCGGGGCGGAAGTGGAGATTCTTGGAGTTGTAGAGCCATTCTACCCCTCCTACACCAGGCATCTGTGCCAAATCCATGATTTCCTGATTTGGCAGGTTCTTGTCCGCAAAACCATATTGGACCCTGCCGTCTATCAGGTAGTCATAATTGACTTGCTTCTCCGGGCGCAAGCTTCTTGACAGCGGAATGAAGCGAACGTTGATTTGTCCATCAAGGTGGCTCTCCAAAATGGAGGCCACCGGCTGACTCTGAACCGCCGCCTTGAATTTGTGCGGCCCAAAGAGGCCAAATTGCCAGTGGAGGAGCTCCATGATGGAGGGGACGCTGCTGGCAGAAATGTTGAGGGCGGCGCCTGGACAGCTTAAGACCTGTCCCGTCAGCAGGGGGAACACTCCGTACGTGTGTCCCCGCAGCATGTGCTGCAAAGTGCTATCGCTGAGCACCAGAAAGGGTCCCAAACTTGGAGGGGTGTCCATGGTCTCAGCTTTAGCTGATGGGCCAGAGTCTGTGACACGCGGCCAAGAGGTGAGCTGTGCTCTTCGCGGAGTCGCAGTTTGTTCCTAAGTCTTAGCTTCTGCAAGGCATGTCTTTAGAGCGAGCTGCTGTACTTCTGCTGCTGCCTACTGTGTCGACAGTTCGAACTGACAGCTGCGGTATGCATGCACTGCATTTCAGAGTCTTGTGACCAAGCACGAAGCTCAGGCAACGCAGGACGACTGGAGACAAAGAACATCAGCAGAGGGCACGCGAGCAAGGACTGCTGGTGCCATGTGGTAGCTGGGACCTCGGATTGCAGGAAAGAGCAAACGATGATGCAGCAGTAGCTGGGTTCAGGCATGCTGCAAGATCAATTTCTCAGGGCAGGTGGGCAACACATCTCGGACTGTGACTAGTTGGGTGGCTGTGCCACACCTTATCGGAGGCTGTGCCACATTCCTTGCATGAGTCGGTGACATCCCTGTGGCTCACAAGTGCTCAGAAGAGACTGTAGTAGTGGTCATAGAGAACACTGTAAACTTCTGCGCCTCTGCTGATTGTTGCCGTTTGCCCGTCTTGGTTGAGGGGGTTCAGGAACTTCTGCACCACGACATGCTTGCTGTGCTGAATGTGGATGGTGAGCTCTTCAGACGCGAGGTGCCACTGGGGCGTGTCAAAAGACTGGACCATGACGCGTAGGTCGAGAGACATTGCTGCCCTGGCCGTGCGGTGAGGACTTACAAAGAGCTTGTGCTGAACCAGGGGGAGCACTGCTGCGCACCAGGTTCTGCTAACCGACGCCATTGAAATGGCCGTCAGCAAGTCTGGTTGCGGTATC